ATGCGCCCACAATTTTGAAGGCAAAAATGAAAATACACTTTGTTTCCTCTTTTTTTTTCAAAAAAAAAAAAAAAAAAATGTAAGCCACCAAACCCTTTCTTTCTCCTTCCCCCCATTTTTTCAGTTACCAAATTTGTAAGCCACCGAGCCCCCAATCAAAGAAGAAAATTTCAATATGATTACTTCCAAGTAGTAGAAAAAGAGCAAAAAAAGATATCTAAAAAATTCACCCACTGAAGAGTACAATGGAAGCAAACAATGATTGATGTCATTGTAGCAGCGAAGTGTGTTTTTATTGTTACCCTTGAAATTATGAGCACGTAAAAGAGGTATGCATTTTTTTACCCGAGAAGTGAACGAAAATGAGCTTTGGGACCATTTGGGCGAATCTTTTATATCTGAGGAACTATTGTAATTGATTTTAAATGTGAGGGACTAAAAAAGTTTTTTCTGAAAATATAAGGGACCAATTTGGCCAAATTCCCATTTTTTTATTTAAACAAGGGCAGGTAGACAACTTTCTTATTCTGCCCCTCTTATCGCGGGTGCAAGAGCACATAAATTGGGTGGCTCAACCAAATAGGGATCAAATTAGCCACACAAATGTAGTTGAAGGATTAAATTGGCTAAGGACATAAATTTAGAGACTAGTTTGTCTCCGATAAAATAGTTGAGGGACTATTTTGGTCATTTGCTCACCCCCCCAGGTGGTACCATTTTGCTCTCATTTTTGTGTCTTTTATTATTTTTTTTTTTGTGTCTTTTAGGATGGATGGTTTCGGTATGAGGCAAAAAGATAACCCAAAATGTTGGACTCTCCATTTGAATGGTGTAACTCAAATTTGAAATTACACATCATGAAACAGGGAATTACGCATCTTGTCAATTTGATATACCGTCTGTTCAATTTGATGTCTAATATCATTTTTCTTTCTTTAGGCAATCTCCTCTCTAATTTCATTTCAAGATACACTAATTCACAGATTATACTGAATACACTAATTCATTACCTCTTAAAGACAAGAAGTATATTAGGTGGGATTACTTGTCAACCCCTGATGCTTGAGTTAAACCAAACAAGGTGTAACACTTCGGATCTCATGCACATTAGCTATGTGTTGATGTTTTATAGTTTTACTATCATTTCACCCTCCGAAAATCTTGGGGCAAACCAATTTTCTTTTTGCAAGTTGGCCATCAAGTAAAGCATAAGGTGTAGATCTCGCAGCAAAACATTGGTTCAAACCCTGGCACCCGCAATAAAATTCAAAGTGCAAACAGATCATGGGTTCAAACCCTAGCACTTGTACTAAAATCCAAAGGGCATACAATAGTTTACTCTTTTGATAAAAAAATGGGATTCTTTTTCTCTAACACTCCTATCTAAGATAGGCCCTCTCCTAATATAAGTTAGAATACGAATAGAAATAGGAGCTGACAATAGATAAAAAAAAAAAAAAGAAAGAAAGTAGACTGTTAGCCAATAATAGTAGTTGGATATGGAAGTTGAGAAGCTAGAAAACAGGTACACAAGTTACAACCTCTGTTTTCAAACTCGGACCGGACCGGCCGGTCGAACCGGGAACCGGCCAGGTAGCCGGTCCGAGTCACATTAAAAAACCGGAAATTTCAAAACCCGGTCAAAGCCGGGTTTGACCGGAAAAAACCGGTTTTTCCGGTTCAACAGTAATTTTTTAAAAAAAAAATCAAACTTTTTAATATTATGTTTTGACCCCCTAAATTGTTAAAACTTATTGATATACCTCAAATATTTGATACTTTATAAATATTGTCCTAAAATTTGATGTTATTTTTCAATTAAATTCATAATTTTAATTCTAAACTTGTTAATATTTATTAAATAATATAAATTGCTACTTGATTGTTCTAATTTCTTGGTATTTTCTTGTTAAATATATTTGAAACATCAAATATATATGGATATACCTTTATTAATATTAATATATTATTAGATATTATATATATAATATTTTAATTTTTAAATAATTTTTATTTATGACGTCATCCGGTTCGACCCCTATCGACCCCCGGTCGAACCCATTGACCCCTGACCCCTGACATCGGCCGAGTCGCTATTCGGTCCGGTTCTGAAAACATAGGTTACAACTTACAAAGCCTCGTCCCCCCATCTATCGATCCTCCGCGCAGGAAGAAAGACACCATGGCCCAAGTACAATGTAAGGCTTCGCAGACAAAACCTATTATTTGGGTTTTTTCCGAACAATGCTTGGTGAGCCTGTCAGCTAACGTGAGAACAAGAAGAAATTAGCAATTTGGAAAACAAAAAAAAAATATCTTCTTACATTTCTGCGATCGCAAAAGCATGCACTATATATGGTGTCTCCCATTCGCCGTTGAGCAAAATAGAGGATGGTTCGTAACAGCTATTGAACAATAACAACTTAAGTATGGTTATTGAAACTATAGTTTCGGTTGGAAGTGTGAATGTTGAGTAAAAATAGATGGAAAAAAGTAAGTAAAAATCACATCTCTTGTGGTTTTGGTTTCTTGAGGCATAAGTTGGGTTTCGGTACCCTAAATTGAACCCCCAAAGCGTCAGTAAAAATCACTCCTCCCTCTTTTTCCTTGGAAACTTCATTGTACTTCGGCCCACCAACCTTAAGGGCCTAGTAATTTTTTTTGCCTCAATGAAGCAGCAGCCTAAAATGTAGCTATACGTGAAACTTTCGAATAGACATGTGATATTGCTGATGGTCTTTAAATTGCAATTTTTGTCACACAACAATTTTTTACTAATGGTATACTCTATTTATCCTTTTCAAACCAGTTCAAGTGTCATCATAATTTTTTGGAATAGTAATTTTGTCACTTCAATAAAAACTATTGTAACATCAAAAAATTTAACTGTGATAATAATAGTTGACTCTCGCATATAGTGCAGACAGACACGTACATACACACACATATATTTCGCAATTGTGTGATCAATATAACAAATTACAACTAAATCATGATATTATCCTCAAAGGCGATTCTCAAGCAATCATTAAATTGGTTTCTTGGTATTATCCTCGAGGGCGATTCTCAAGCAATTACTAAGAGCATTATTTCAATGGAGGGTGATCAATCTGAGATCGGTCTAGTTTTAGATGACATTTCCAGTACTTTAGTTCATTTTGTCACTTGGAAAGCCAATTGGATTCCAAGAACACTTAACAACGTGCAAAACATATAGCTCACGTTTCTAGGTGGGATTCTACTCTCCCAACTTTGTTATTTCCGCTCTTAATGCGGACATTAGTTGATAATAATATCCATAGTTCTTTATTACAAAAAAAAAAAAAAAATCTTCATATATGGTGGGACAACTATATATTATAAGAAAGAGTATACTATATACTACATGATGAACGTAAAAATAGAAGATAAATTCGCATAGTAGTGTTTCGTGAATCACAGTCGTATGATTCACAAAAGATGGATCATCCAACAGTACGAGTCAACAGGCCATCCAGTCTCATATAGGGGACAAGTCCCCACAAAAACAGTTGAACGCATAATTTCGTGTGGTAACCGTGTTCAAACTATCTTAATATTCCCAAATAGAATTAGAGGACGTTTCTTGTTAAGCTTCTGATTATGGAAATGTTTCATGTTAGTAAAATTTGGCTGCAAAAAGCAGTGGGAAAATTGGTAGGAAAGACTGGAAAGTAATAAGTTAATCAAAGAGTCGAGAGCTTCCATGAGAAAGATCAAATTCCGCCTAATTTTGGCAGCCAAAATTGTGAATTTACGTTCTCTACTCCTAATTGACTTAAAAAGCATCGTGCTAAAGAAACAAAATGAAATCAAAAAGCAAAGTTGCTAGGCGGCAATCAAGAGTCAAGAGCCTCCATGAGAAAAATCAAAATGATCTAGTTTTTAGCAATCAAGTTTTGTTACATACAATGCATGTATTTTGAAGATTGAACTAGTATTGCTAATTAATACGTATTGAAGAAGAGGAAGCCGAGAAGACGAGAAGTTAATAAGACTTTTTCCAGGAGTTTCTCTCTCTTTTTTTTTTTTTTTTTTGGGGTCAAAAGTCATTCTAGGAACCCAAATTGGAGAGGTATAAAACAGATGAGAAATTGACTAGAGACTTTTTTTATGCTGTTGACGCCTTTGAGTCTTTTACACTTCTCGAACTACCACTGCAATATCCCGTATTGGATCCTTTTACAAACGACCCGTCAAAACAAGGGCAGCAATAAATCAATCATAACCTTTAACGACCTGCAGCTATGTTCTGGTACTGAGGTGCGATGCTAGTTGCTTCAAAAGGTTAGCCAACCTTAACTTGAACATGAAACAACTGAAAAAAATCACGTTCTGCCGTACCAAAAACTTGTGCTTGCTTCTGACACCTCCAAGACTTCAAGATTGCTGGCATTTTTTTTTTCTTTTTTTGCTAATAACTATATAGTTGAGAAAATGAATTACATTTTGTGCTGATCTAACACTCAACTTTAATTTCATTTAGAAGAATAAATTTAGTTATATGACAAACTATATTGAAATTATGCGACTTTTTATTCCCGTCTGGGGCTAACAAATAACTATTGGTTGCCTCATGGCGCCATGAGCATAAGATACTACTCCAATCTCCTTGCCTTTCTTGGGCACAAATGGAAAATAAGCTAAAGGAGTTAATAATGGAAATCATCAACCATTTTAGTCCAAAAGTCAGATTCTATGTACCCATGAAAAAGATACTCAACCAACACGCACAAACAAGAAGATTCAACCCAACTTCTCCATGATATCTTTTGTTGAGCAGATGGATGGGATATTATATTGACTTCATTGTCAATTATTCCTACATCATAGCTAACAATATCTCAATGACGATTAAATAGCTTCTTAGTGACGTATCTACTTCCCAAATCAGAATGTTGAAACATTACCTTTTTTTTTAATTGTAATATGAGATTCCTACATATATCCATCTTCCGGTCCTCGCACCAAACAAGCCCACCATGTTTTCGTTATTTTTTGGATTTGTTCTCCTGCCTCTTCTCATTTCCTCACCATGCCTCTCTGCTAGAACAACTCCAATCTACCAAGATAGAACCTTACCCGCTAAAAATTACACCTACAAATGGCAAAATTTTGAAAAATTCCTAGATGCCAGCAGAGGAAGCCAAGTTAGTGACATGTCCGAGCTCAAGAAATATTTCCATCATTTTGGCTATCTGAAGGTTGAAGAAGAAATGAACTTCACCGATTTATTCGATGAAAAATTTGAGCTAGCCGTGAATAAATACCAAGCAAAGTTAGGCCTTCCGGTTACAGGTAAGCTAGACTCCAAAACAATTGATCAAATCATGTCACCTAGGTGTGGCGTAAGAGACGTGCCTAAAATGTTGCACGCAACGAGGCATTATGCATTTTTCGGAGGCCAGCCGAGGTGGGATCGGAGCATACCGATGACTCTAACTTATGCATTTTCTCCTGTGAATTTGATCACTTCTTTGAGCCTGCAAGATATAAGGGATGCTTGCAAACGTGCCTTTGGACATTGGGCATCAGTTATTCCCGTGACATTCGTGGAAACGGATGATTACGGTTTTGCAGACATCAAAATAGGGTTTTACAGGGGTGATCACGGAGATGAGGAGGCTTTTGATGGAGTGCTTGGGATTTTGGGTCATGCATTTTCACCAGAGAGCGGGAGATTTCACCTTGATGCAGCTGAGACATGGGCTGTGGATTTTCAAGTGGAGAAGTCGGACGAGGCGATTGACTTGGAGTCCGTGGCTACGCATGAAATTGGGCATTTGTTAGGGTTGGCACACACTTCAGTTAAGGAAGCTGTTATGTACCCAAGTTTGAAGCCCAGAGAAAAGAAGATTGACTTGAAGCTTGATGATATTAGGGGGATACAAGCTCTTTATGGTTCGAATCCTAATTTCAGTATTCAGAATTTGTCAGAATCCGATCTATCCTCAAACTATGCAGTTGATTTAAGAATTGGTTCCTTGTCAACTTGGTGTGTCTTGCTTCTGGGACTGGTGTCATTCTTGTGTCTTTAACTGGGCACCACTGTTCTCACTACCGTGATTAGTTAGTTTACACAACCAAAAAACATTAGGGAAAAAGGAAAAGCCAAAGGGATATTGAAAGTTAATGTAGAACGCCCATTGAAAATATTTGTTTGGATTGCTTAATTTGAGGTAGTGATCAGCTAATCGATTAATAGCTGATATGTCAGCTTCAACTTTTTGACATTTATGTATTTTTTTTGGGGAGTTGATAACCATATTTCAAAGAGAAATGTAATTATGATATATTCCTCTTGAGGTTGTTATAATTTTTTGGACTAAATCCACTTTGTAGCTCTAAACTTGTATCACATTTTCAATTTACACCTTTAATTTTAATTTTGGATACTTTGAATCCTAAACTCTTGATTTGTTTGACTTAAGTCCAATCAACAGTAACATTAATAAATTAATGGAATAGAGGACCGTACAAATTAATGATAATATACTAAAAACGATAAATAAAAAAAAAGATCAAAGGATCGCAGATTATACGAAATGATACAGTGTCATTGATTCGCACTATTCTGCATTTCGTAAATTTACTATCAATGTTGTTGGTTGGATTTAAGTGGTACAAATATGAGAGGTTAGAGTGCAAAATATCAAAATTTGAAATTTCGGGTATAAAGTAAGAATAGTTTAGAAGTTTGGGAGTATACAGTGAGATTAATCTTAATTTTTCATAATTCTGACGTTCCTGAAATTATCCCTTATCGCGTTTGTACTTTAAACCACTTTTTCCCCTCTTTATTCTTTCCAGAACAAGGATTAGCACAACGACAGGAGGCTTATTAATTATGATGATATCTAGTCATTTGATTTGTTGTTGTGATGAGGTGGTGTTGAACTGTTGCAAGAAACCCGCCCGCAACATCTCAAAATATCTATTACTTTCAAGTTTCTATAGTGCAATTGTACCTTTTGCTACGTAGATTTCCAAATCTCATGACATGCCCTTTATCTGCCTCTTCCATGTTCATGAAAAGCAATTATTAATTATTATCATGATAACTAGATTAATTGACAGTCAACATTTTTGTAAAATCCGGCCACACTGAATTTACTGTTCGATTAAAAAGCAAAAAGATGAAAGGTAGTATCTGCATAATTTCCTATCGGAAAATATTTTAAAGAAAAACATAAAATAGTACACAGTCTTGTGGTTGGTGCACTCATCGACTGTGAGTTTAGGTGTCAAATTCCCCAAGTAAAGGTCATCACCCTTTATTGCGTACGTGTTGGTGACCCGTTATTGGGTGATGTCCAACATGGGCGGCCTCACACATCTCCGTTTTGACCAGCCAGCGATGAAACAGTCCTCCGTGGGAAACAGCGAAGAAACATTTTAATATTCTGTTTGTAACCATCAGTTTTTTGAAAATTAATTTTTTAAATACTATGAAAATTTTTAAAAAGTACTCTAAAATACACTTAAAAAATAGTCTAAATTTTTTTAATATTTTAAAAATATCCCAAAATATATTCTAAAAACTCTACTACTCTTAAATATCCCAAAATATATTCTAAAAATATCCCAAAATATACTCTAAAAACTCTATTATAGTAAAATTTTTCAAAAACACTCCCAAAAATAACTAATCCAAACAAGTAAAAAATGTTTATTCTTTTTATTAACATATTTTTTAATTATTTTTTTATTTTATGCACATAAAATCGCTACATTATATCTTTTTACAAAAATTCCAAAAAACCACTACGGTATTAAATACAAATCAACATTTCAGAATTGAGTTAATTGCATTATTGCTGATTTTGTAGGTGTTGCAAACTTGCAATACATTTCATCTTTCTTTTTCCTCATCACATTCTGGTTCTGATCCCTCTCCTCTACTCAATTTACTGTCTTGCAAGAACGGATCATTTTTTCATAAAAAATCATGGGTTCGAATTCTACTGTCGATATAAGAGCTGTGTTAATGAACAATCTGCAAAAATCTCTATAAATTATCTACAATTTTCGAGACATGTTTTGACTCGTAACAGTGACCGAAGAAGGAGGAAAAAGCTTGAAATTGGGACGTAAAAATATGGTATATACTTTTCGACTTTCTGAGCAAAACATACGAGTTCCATTCGAATCCTTTCTGATTTGTTACTCCTTCTCTAGTCATTTCTACCGGCTATGCAAAACATCGAATTTCGATTTTCCGATAATCTTGAAATGTTGACATGGGCAGAAACTGCGAAACCGCGATATAATGACTATGGATTGCGTTAAATATAATCCGTCGAATATAATCTGTTAAATATAATGACTATGGAATGGGAATAGTCGGGCCCGAAAATATAATCCGCCGAATCCCGAATACCCACTACATCAGAAAAAAAAAAAAAAAAAAGACTATGGATTGCGTTAAATGCATGAGTTTTCTTCAGAGTTCTGCGTTGGATCTTTAATCAAACAACAAAAATATTTGTCAATACACTTCCTTAATTTATACAAAAAGATTTACCGTCACATTTCTCCTGAATGAGAACGATGTGACGTATGAGCTTATATGTCTTGATTCTGTGGTTTTACCTATTATATGTCACCACTCTAGTGAAGTCTGAGTAAGCTTTTCGTGTAACACGCGTAGTGCTGGTAAAGAGTGCTCTCTTTTTTTTTTTTTTTTCCTGACGTAGTGGGTATCCGAAGTTCGATCAATTATATTTTCGAGCCCGACTATTCCTACTTTATTTTGTGCCCCACCTCCGAGAAGACACAAGAAAATAACAAGAATCGAACGCGATCACACGATGCCAGAAACTAAGAGGGCACCCTCAACACCAGCCGCGCCAACCCCAAGGGTTTGTCAAGAGTGCTCTCGATGACATGATTTTTGTGAATCGGATAGGCAAAGGATCCTCTTTTAACTTCCTTTAACTTTCATCTTATCTTTTTGTTTGTCTGTCTTTTACTCGAAACTTTGGGCATGCAGTGACTGACTGACTGACTGCGGGGACTGAGTGCGCCAATACCAACCACTAGTAATCTATAAGTCCTTGCCACTGTGGAGAAAGAAAGAAGTTAGTGCATAAATAACGCATCAATCCCAGCATTAAGTCGATGCCTGCCTTTTCAACTCCCTATTAAACATAACTAGATCCCTTAAGTTGGAAATTATTGCGAACCCTTTTGTTTCTCCACAATTAACGGTGTTTCAACATAGGAAACTTAATTTCGAATATTGACAATATTGATAATTCTATATACATGTCACATGTGTATAAAGAAGATTTCAAAAATGTGCGTCAAATCGGCCAATGTAATCAACCTTTAAAAGGTCAATGAATTAAATCATTTACATCTGTGAAGAGAAGTTTCAAGTGTTAATTTTTTGAAAAAAAAATTTTGATAGTTAATTTTAAAAAGTATCTAAATGCAGGGTGTAATAATTATAATTGTGCATGATGACACAGTAAGTTAGAGTGTATTAACGAATATCAACTGAGCACCTATTAAAAAAAAATTTGCCATCCATTAATCCTTTAACTGGTGGGTTGAAATTACTCGGCCAAATTTCAAAAATCCTCTTGAGATTGTGCGATGTGGTGATCTTCAAGCAAAGTGTACGGGTTGTCTCTCGTGGATCGTGATTAACGAGTTTGACCGCAGGGGCTGGGCGAATTTAGTGATTGAAGATGCTGGCAGTCCAAAACTTGTCAGGGGCTGGGCCAGCTTAAAAGCCGAAAGAAAACTTGAGTTAATCTTGCAGTCGCACTTGCATCAAGGCTGCAGCCTACTGAGTCAAGACTCAAGAGGGTCGGAGTATTTCTTAACTTAGTGGTGTATTTTACCCTCAACAAAAAATTTTCTTATCCTACTAAGGGAGTTCTACAAATCTTTTTTCGCTCCTGAAAAAAATGAGTAACAACAAACCAAGAAAATGAAGTGGAGCTAGTTCCTCGAATTACAATTTTTGCTTTCATATATATATATTCCATTTACCATGTTTAACCTGCTTAAGATTTAGAAAAAAAAAATTTAAGCGAAAGAACTTTCAAATAAAGAGAACGCTATGGAGTGAGTAATATGAGGTCCAAAATTCCTGGTTTATTTTTACAAAGTTTGAAGAGCATTAATAGGGTCGAAGGACTTCTTGAGGACTATTAGACAAAGTATTAAATTTTTGTAGAAGAAATTGTCTAATGAATGCTCTTAAACCACAACTCACGTAGAGAGGGCTCATAAGGTCTCTCTCGCTTTCAGATTCAATGTTTGAATCCTTTGTACTAGCAGTTAGAAAGTGGGGGATAGGCGACAAGAGATTTAAAAAAAAAAAAAAAAAAGTGGGTTCTTGGTGTTGCTTTCATTTTTTATAAAAGTAAAGTTAAATGGTAAAATTGCCTGAATACAAAGAAACCAATAAATATGACATTGTGCAACGTAGATGGGACAAAAATTAAATAAATATGATATTGTGCACCGGACAAAAATTTTTATACGTTGACAATGTAAAAAATTCTTTACACAATTATGCAGACGCAATGATGTTTATTGATTTGTCATGGTATATTACTTGGTGTATCCATAGATTTACCACTAATTTTTAGTTTGATTCGCAGTTAAAACTATTGAAAGATATGGCAAGGCCAGAATGTCATGATTAAATTTGACTAAATCGGATTTGGTTAGAATCTTTGGAATGATTTTCTAACAAAGTAGACGACATTAGTCAGCGAAATGGACCCCGAATCAAGCTTGTCAACTGAGGCCTAAGCAGTACTTGGAAACTGTAATCATCACAAAATAAGATAAGGACTACATCTCAAGAATCTCAGCGACGGCCATCTAACATGATGGAGTATTTTTTTAGCTCTATAGTGATCAGGTTTGCACACATTCTTCTTCTTATGGAGCCCTAAGCATGTACCAATCCCCAACCACCTCCACTGGCCTACTCTCCATAATGTACTACTTTCACAGAGTAGGGAATTGATTAAATGCTAACTTCATCTTCTGTCTTGCAATGTACAGCAAGTTGGATGGGATGGAACATTGGCACGGAAGTCGCACAACTTTAGGAGAACGAACGAGTCGTCCTCTTCCGTTAACCTACATAACAGATCTAGTTCTTCTTTTCTTTTTCTCATTAGGAAAGAAGTGTAATCTAAAAAGCAGGAAATAGGAAGGAAAATTTGAATTCAGAACTTATATAATTTCTAAAATTTCTCGGCGCAAAGTTGGACATTATG